TTTTACAGATGAAGAAAATGAGGCAAACGATAAAGTGACTTGCCCAGGGCCAAACAGCTAGTAAGTGTATGATGTCATTTGAACTCAGGTCCTTGGGACTTCAGGGCTGGTACTCTATCTACTGCGTCACCTAGCTGCCCATAGGCCTAGTAGTGGTATCATTAGGTTAAGGGTTTGCACAATTTAATAACTTTTGAGACATCGTTCCAAATTACTTTGCTGAAATGGCTGCAAAAATTTACGGTTCCACTGACAGTAAAATGTCCTTGTTTTCCCATAGTTAGGACAGTCCGGTTCTAGAGTCCAGAAGACTCTTTTTCCTGAGTTCAAATCTGACCTCAGAAACTTACTATCTGTGTGACCCTGGACAAGCCACTTAACCCTGTTTGCCTCAGTTCCTCATCTGTAAAAGGAGCCGAAGAAGGAAATGGTAAACCACTCCAGTATCTTGTAACAAAGAAAAACAGCTAAGCAAGACAGCAGCACCCATTTGACAGTATATGCAATGTTATGCCTTAGCAGTCCTCTGCCTCTTTGCTGGGAAGAGGTAGTAGACTGCCCACTAACCTGAAGGTCTACAGAGCTCTTGTGCTGACCTTGCTGTTGTATGCCTGTGAATCCTGGACAGTGTACCAGTGCCATGCCAGGAAACTGAATTACTTCCATTTGAATTGTCTAAGGAAGATTCTGAAGATCACTTGGCAAGATAAAGTACCAGACACTCAGGTCCTTTCACAAGCTGAACTGCCAAGCATTCAAACTCTATTGCAAGGAGAACAACTTCAGTTGTTCAAATGCCAAATGTATGTTTGCCTAAAAAACTATTACTCATGCAAGGCAAGGACTCACAGAGAGGTCAGAAGAAGCGACACAAGGACACTTTCAAGGTATTTTGGAAGAACTTTGGAATCTATTGTGAAACATGGGAGACACAGGCACGGAACTGACCAGCATGGGGTGCTACCCTCAAAGAAGATGCTGTGCTGTATAAGCAAAGCAGAATTGTAGTAGCTTCAAAGAAACATGGGATGTGCAAATTTAGAGCCAGCCCTCCTCTAGAGGTTCATGTGGACTGTTTGTGTCTGATCTGTGGTACAGTCTTCTCAACTTATATTGGTCTGGTCATACCTTGGCCCTGACATAGTGATATCATTTTGGTTCTCTTTGAGAACAAAGACCAACAATCAGTCAGAGTAGTGGTTCCCATTTAGGGAGAACCCATTGGGGGTTCACAACAATGGTCCGAAGGATTCATGCTAAAAATTCTTTAATGGTGTCTTAAGCAGTAAATAATTGTCCAATTATGTTGCAAATATATTTTTCCTCTGTGACAATAAGCATGTACATGTTTGAAGCATTATAGAATTGCTTCTGCATCAATTCAAAACCTGTAATGATCACGTACACAACAATTGTGTTTATACAGTGATTCCGTAAAATTACTCTGCTTCTAAGTGCAGAGTTCTTGCAGTTTCTCAACCTGTCATCAGATTATTTCCAAACCACAATACTTGTTCAACATTTTAGTGCACAAACTAGTTTCCAACAGATAGATGCATTGGCCTACCCTCATTTGTGTTGGGTACACTGCACCAGAGAAGTTCCCTCATTTCCCTTTGTCACCCTGCAATGATACTTTATCAGTTGTGTAATCATGTGAATAAGATAGCACAAATGTTGGTGTTCTTGCAGTGCAAATGTCAGGCTGTTTTAAAACCATGATCTCTGGGCACAATCCATAGAAGCCATCTTGAAAGCATCACAGACCATCACAGATGTTCTTCAGAGACAACTCTCATGTTGTCTGTCTTTGCAGTATTAAGGTTATTTCCTGATTTAAACTTATCCTCTTCTTATGTCACCATTCTCCTGTCTGTCAGATTTTCAAATGAACTGGTTGGCAACATGGATCAGTAGACATGATTCAGTAGAGTCTCTGTGAGAATGTAGCTTGTGCAGTGCCCGTGATAACAAAGAAGAAAGACCTGTTGAAACAGATTCATTCCCTACAAAGCTTGGTTTACATATAAACACTGGTAAAAATGAAGCAAAGTAGGCAGTTGCACTCTAAGTATATTTCTCATTTAATATAGTACTCGTCATTAGCCAACAGAAAAGTATTTCATATCATAATTAGCTTTTCATTTTGGCTGATTGGTTAAGTGGCTAATAATAAAAAATCAATTTTTATTTCAAACAGGAGAGCTTGTATAATTCTCCAACCATTTCTCATCCACTTTATTTGCATTTTAAATCAAAATATAGAAATAAATTTGATGTTTAGCCAAATTTGAGACTCTATTTGTCTGGCATTGAGCCAAACATTGCAAGCTCTGTGATCCAGCAACACTGGAACTTGATGTTCCTTACACAGGATACTCTCTTCCCTACTCAAGCACTGGTTGTCCCCTAGGCCTAGAATATTTTCCCTCCTTACTTCTGTCTCAGCTTTCTCAGCTTTCTTCAACACTCAGCTCAAATCCCACTTTATACATAAGGTTTTTCCCAGTCTCTTACCCTCCTGCCCCCATTCCCATCTTTCTCAGTGGCTAGTATCTTTACTTCTAAGATTATCTTCTTTCTATTCTAATATATCTGATCTGTACCTAGTTATGTACATGTGGTCTAAGAAGGGCTGTCATCTTTCTTTGTATCTCATCACTTAGCAAAGTGCTTGGCACATAGAAAGTGCTTATCCCAGAGGTTCATGTAGATAGGTGTAGGGGCTTTATGTGTGCCGATACTGGTCTCCAATGACCCCTCTCTCCATCATCTTTAACTTTTATGGGATATATGCCCAGTAATAGAATTGTTAGTTCAAAAAGTATGGATAATTTAGTCACTTTTCTTCCATAATTTCAAATTGATATCCAATTCACAACTCCACCAACAGTGCTAATATGCTTGTCTTTGTAACTAACACTTCCAATGTTTACTATTCCCCCTTTTTTTGTCATCTATGTCAACCTGTAGTGTGTGAAAGGATATTTCAAGGTTGTATCACTTGCATATGTTTTCAAATGGTGATTTATACTTTGAAATTCTTTTGAAATCTAAAGGCTACTTATCTATTGAGAAATGGCTCTTGGTCTTCTTATATATTTTTATCAATTCCTTATATGAGGTATTCCAAAAGTCTTAGCTTTAATGTCTTGTGTATGGATGGAGGAGATATCACGTAGAGTCCTGAGTGAAGAGGAATTTCTTGTGGATGGTGAGATCCTCTAAATGTTCCTATTCTGAGTGACCCTAGTCAAGTCACCTAATCCTGTTTACCTCAGTTTCTCATTGTAAAATGAGTTGGAGAAGGAAATGGCAACCCTCTCCAATATTCTTGCCAAGAAGACCCAAAAAAAGGGCTCACAAAGAGTAAGACATGACTGAAATGACTGACATCATGTGACATTAAGCCCTTGAACATTTCTTAGACTCCTGTAATCACTGATAGGAATTTGGCCTAACCATCAACACAAGAAAGACCAAATGACGAAAGGACTTATATTGCCCAGATTACAATATGTGTTCAGACAGATAAACTTTGTGTGTGTGTGTGTGTGTGTGTGTGTGTGTGTGTGTGTGTGCGTGTTTGGGACAGTCAGTACTGCTGTTGAATATGCTTAGAGCGAATGAGAGAACAGTGAGTTCCAATATCTTCAGGAAATCCCAGAACTCCTTTAACATACCCAGGTCCCCTATGAAAACGAAGGCCCATCTTTTTAATACCAAGATTCTATTCTTTTTACATGTAATTGGGAAATATTTAAACAAATAAATAAAAATATGTTTCAAAAATACCAACATTCTACTGATGGTGCAATGTAACAGAACAATGTGGAATAGAATAACCTCTAAGGAGTTAAAAAGGATCATTCAAAGAGAACCATGGAGAGGCAAGAGGGAGGTATGAATATTCTGCAACATATAAGCAATGAGGGACTCCAAAGAAAAATAGCAGGAATGGATGTCCCCAGGTAATTGTGTTGCAGGGCTGAACTCCACTGATATCACTTTGCCCTGGATGTCAGGAGAAACTGAGGGAGGTCTCCAATTGGTTGGAGTTGGACTCCCTGTGGTGATCTTACAGACTTCTGGGTGGTAC